AAACATATCTCACTTACTCATGAGAGCGGGTCGGAGATGAGGCGTCATTTCCACACAGAGTTTACGTCTCTGAGAAATTTGAACTGACATATCATGGAGCATTGGGAAATGCGGCGTTGCCTAATATTGCGTTTTTTTTTTTCCTTTTTATCCTCTACTCTTTGACACAAGAAACCCAACGCCGCCGATTATTCTTAGCGAATGTGGCTGAGACAGACACGTGGCGAACATCTTTTGTCGCCATTGACGATCTGTTCTGCGCCTGGCTGCCACAGCGAATTGTAGACTTTTACCCCGTACAATACCGCGAGATGATTCCTGCCGTCCGCCATGGCCCGCCGCAGTCGTGCCAATTTGCTCTAAATTTGCCCACTGGCTCTGCAGTGGGGTGTGCCGAGCGTGCCTCTGATGACGCGCTGTTTCTGAGCCGTTTGATTGCCGCGTGGGGATACCGACTTGTGCCGCGCGCTTTCCAGACCAACGGGGCCGCAGCTTTTCATTGGGCGAGCGAAGCGCCGGGTCCCGTGTGGCGCCAAGCCTAAATGCCACTGATGTGTCTGAATTGTGTCGCTGGCGATGCTCATCACGATTTCCATTGCGCCTCATCATTGCAACAGGCGACCACCCGAGAGGAATACTTGCCAGGAATGAATTGTAAACGAAGAGCGAAAGCAAGAGGGCAAGAAACTGCGGGACACACTGGGGAAGCTGGAGTCCCGCAACTGTCATCAAAGTAAAGCGGGCGCGTGGTATGCAAAAACGTGTGCTCGGGAGCTTACGGCGGGTCATGACGCTTGCGAATGGGAATCGCCTTGATGGGCCCGGCTGCCCCCCGCATATTTCACAGGCCCGCCCCACGGAAATGAGACATGCGAGGGCAAGCGAGGGAACACATAAGAATGCTCTTTTCTGGGGGTTCAGTGTTTTTTTGTGCTCCATCTTTTTCTTGCTCTTGCGTCTGTCACACGCACTCCAAACGCATTTTTTGGGAATGTTTGGCGCGAAATGTGCTGAAGTGTGGATGACGTTTAGTCCGAGAAATCCGCTGCCCAAGAATATTTCCATTGCTTTTCGGAGGCATCAGCGGATTGAACCTCAATATCGCTTGCTTGGTTGATTAGGATTCTCTGCGTGTGACGTGCGCGCCACTGATGCTGTTGCTCGTGATCATGTCTCCTCAGTGGCTGAGCGAAATGCATTGGAGGCGCAAGCATCGCGTGTGATGGGCGATGTGCCTTTGACGAGGGATGCGCTTCTTCACCACGAATGGTTTTACTTTCAGAAACGATCTGCATCACGGAGCAGAGGGTGTTGGAAGGCTTTGCAAGGGTGTTTGAGGACATCACGGACGGATTGCCTTGGTATGTTTGTGGGTTGTTCATCATGATGACACTTGTGAATTCACAAAGGCGGGCCGCGCAAACTGGACTTGTCGGCCGCGACGATAACTTGGCGTGAGAAGGGATTACCGGAATATTGAGAGCGATTTGCTGCATGTTGTTTTTTCTGGCCTGTTGGCTAGTTTCTCAGCGTCCTGTGCCGGGTGGAGAAGACGGTTTCTGTACTTGCAGCTAACTCCTTAATTCCCATCCTGAAATGGAAGCACGACGTTGTTTGGTGCCATGATAGGAACCATCGTTACGTTGGGCCCCTTTTGTATTTTATGATCCGCTGGGGCTGCTGAATGGAATAAATCCATTTCCACACTGCCCTTGGTTTATTTATTGGTGTGTTATTGTGAGTGAATGTCGAGCGCAGTGTGCTTGGTGCCCTTTCTCCCTGCGGAGAAAGACTCGGTAGAACTTGTGCTCGATTGTTGCCTTCAATTCATTTTTTTTGTACTTCAGTGCTCTGAAATCGTGACACAAATTTTTATTTCATGAGGTGTTTATTAGAGAGTGCAGGAGCCGCAGTGTATGCTGTTTTCTTGTGGATGGGCACTGTTTCTGTGCGATTATCCGTCTACAACGCCAAAGGCATGCTTTACCAGATGATTGTCGTTATGTGGCTGTTTCCGTTCTTGCTTGCCGTGGCCGATCGAGTGGTGAAAGTTTAACCAGTGCGGCGGGGTTTCATGAAGGATTCATGACGAGAATGGATTTGACACAGAAGAATGTTTTGTCTGGACAAGTTCAATTCGTACATGGCCGTTTGCGATGAAGACTTAAAAAAAAGGTCCATGCTGGAGTGGACTTTTCATTACGGGCTTTATGACTGTATTGGTGGTGCATGTTTCTGAGCTGGCTCTTAATACCCTGTTGAAGGATTATCGGGGTGCGGGTATTCCTTTTGAACATCGGGGTGCATTTGTGAATGACGGTCTTTTATTGAAGCGACACAAGGGCGCAGAGCAGGTGTCGGTGACATATAAAAGGGTTTTTCAGGACTTTGTTTGAGCATTTTATTTATGTGGGTGACAAAAAGAGAAGACAGAAATACATAGGCAAGGAGGTGGGGCTTCATCACGAAACAGACGGAACGGAAGGAATCTGTCAACGCATCGCGCTGCTTTTTTATTTTATCGTTTGTGGATTGGCTTTGCTTCTGTGGAAGAGGGTACGTGCGAGCGGCAACTGCGCACCAGTGTGGATGTGATGGTGGTGAGGGAAACGGCATTTCTTTCCGGGATCACGGGTGAAAACGTGCCTTCGCGGTGCTGTGGGCATGGATGACTGACGAGGGGGAACGGATGAAATGAGTTTGGGTGCACACATTCGTAGGGAAGGACTGTCATGCATTTTTTTTGCGGGCGTTTATCCGTTGTTGTTTCCCTTTGATTAGGAGGGCGACAACGCTCTGCGACAACAATTTTCATTCATGCGAGGATTCATTCCCAATGGTGCTGATGGAAGCGTAATGCAGCCAGACGATAACAATCAAGAGGACCGTGAGGGTGGTGCGAGCACCCGAAGGGGAGACGACATGAACGGAGGTGGGCGGACGGCAGTATCGGAAGAGTTGACGGAAGAGGGTATGTAAAATAAAGGGAGATAAAATGAGGTTGGCGGTGCTGCTGTGCGAAATGCGAGGGAAGAAAAACAAGTGCTTTCTGACATGTTGGTGGGTGTGCCACGGCCATCAATGAGCTCTCAGGGAGAGGGAAAGGCGGGAAGTGAGACGGAGACTGTGCGCACCGACTGCGGCGTGTGGTGTCACAGGATGCAATTTCCATTGTGAAGGGTGCAACGGCCGTCATGCGTGCAGCAGAGCGTCACCTGCATCTTTTTGCCTGCAGAGCCTGCAGGTGCTGCGAGGAGGTACAGGCGAACTCTCACTATTGGACTGCTGAGGCCGTTTTCTCTCTCTGCTCGGCGGGAGAAGCAACTCTTTCTGCACGTGACGTGCTGGTCTGCATCGGTGCTCCTAACGGGGCATCACGCCGCCGTGTCGTTGCAGTGCAACGCTTGTTTCCCTCACTGCACACGTGGCTCCCTCTCGCTTGCCTTATTTGCAGAGCCATGGCCTGTGGTCCCCCATTGGGAGGCTGCTCAATTTTTTCCCTAATTTTTGTGTGCTGTTGAGGGGTGCTGGTGAATGGCTGCGGGGATGGTGATGTTGTGTTTCGCTGTGAGTGGTTCAGGTGTGTACTGCTGTTGTGTTGCCTTTCTGCCGCTGTTCTCTGTTGCTCCTTATGAAGAAGGAAAATAATAATAAGCGCGAATTGCTACTGTGAAATTGTAAGGCACTGAAAGTACCAACAACAGCACACACACCGCCCACACACACATATTTATATACTCTCACGTGTTGCTGCAGTCAAGGCACCCCGCACACACAACCGTCGCCGCGTGACCGGATCCAGCGGAAGGAGGAGGGAAGGAGGAGAGAGTGAGCCGCAGAGGCCCAACATGTCCCGGCGTGTGTTTGCTTCCGCGGTGCTGCTCCTATTTGTCGTGATGATGTGCTCCAGTGGTAGGGCTTCGAACGCCGTGACGAGTAATTCGGGGAATGTGCAATTGCCTCATACGGTCGATCTATTTTTGCCGAATCAGACGCTGGTTGTATCGAAAGATGGAAGGTCTCAAGAGACGAAGAGGGATGCATTTGTTTCACCCTCTCTCGTCAGTGCTGGTGGAGTAATTGCTGCTTTTGCCGAGGGTCACATGGAAACCAAATATCAAGGTGGTCAATCAACTAAGCCGTCTTCTGATGTAGTTGCAGAGTACATCGACTCTGCGTGGGATTGGCCCACTCTTGTTGAAAAGGTTAATAAAGATACATGGCGGGCACACACTGTGCTTGGTGCAGCGGAGGGAAAGGATTATCGTATGGGTGGTTTGCATCACCCAACATCAATCACGAGGGGCAATAAGGTGTTTCTTCTTGCGGGAGGCTTTGGTGAGCTCAAGGAAAGTGGTGGGAACTGGGAATGGGGCAAATTTGAGCTGACACTGGTTGTGGGTGATGTCACGAATTCTACGCCCGGCGATCCGGGTGGACGGATCAAATGGGGTGACCCAAGACCGCTGTTCGATTCGAAATATTCATTGAATCACAAAAGTAAATTGAATACCTTTTTTGCTTCTGGTGGCTCAGGTGTTCTGATGGAGGATGGCGCCATTGTATTTTCTTTGATGGCGGTGAATGAAAAAAATGATGGCGTTTTACCCATGATCATTTACTCGACGGACGACGGCAGTACCTGGTTGCTCTCTGAGGACATTTCACCTGCGAACTGCTTTAACCCCCACATCACCAAGTGGGAGGGAAAACTTCTCATGATTGTTGACTGCGAAAAAGACCAGAGGGTGTACGAGTCGCGTGACATGGGGACAACGTGGACGGAGGCCATCGGGACGCTTCCAGGCGTGTGGGTCAAGTCACAATTGGGAGACTATCCGGACGAAGGCTTGCATGTGGATGCCCTCATCACCGCGACCATTGAGGGCAGGAAGGTCATGCTTTACACACAGAGAGGGAATTTCTCGGGGGAAACGGAAAGGACCACTGCGCTCTACGTTTGGGTGACGGACAACAACCGCTCGTTTTCTGTTGGACCGGTTGGCATGGACAATGCTGTGAAGGGGGAGCTTGCCGGCGCCCTGCTGTACTCGGATGGCTATTTGCATCTTTTACAACAGAGGGTCAGTGCTGAGGGCAGTGCCATTTCACTCTCCCGCCTGACGGAGGAGCTGAAGAAAATCGAGTCCGTCCTCAGCACTTGGGCACAGCTTGACGCCTTTTTCTCCAAGTTGTCTATACCCACGGCGGGTCTTGTGGCGGTATTGTCAAACGCATCGGCCAGCAATGACATGTGGTACGACGAGTACCTTTGCCTGAATGCAACGGTGAATAAAGCGGTGAAGGCCGCGGATGGGTTGAAATTGATGGAGCCTGACTCCAGGGTAATGTGGCCTGTGAACATTCGGGAAAGTGATGTACGTCATATATCCTTGAGCCAAAACTTCACGCTTGTGGCGACGGTGATCATCGAAGAGACTCCGACTGCGGACGCTCCTCTACTGTATGCGGAGTTGTTTGACGCTGGGCCCCCGTATATCATAAGACTGTCGTACACCGCGGATAGCAAGTGGGAGACGATGGTCAAAGGCGACACAAAAACAACAACGGAAAGTGGCACATGGGTGGCGGGGAAAGAATACCAAGTGGCACTCATGCTGCAAGGCAACAAGGCCTCTGTGCACATTGATGGCAAGTCGCTGGGGAAGGAAGAAGCACTGTCAACAGATGAGAGGCCACTTGATGTCGCAGGCTTTTGCTTTGGCGCGTGCGGTATGAAAAACTCTCCTGTGACGGTGGCGAACGTCTTTCTGTACAACCGCCCACTGAATCCCACTGAGATGAATGCAATCAAGGACAGGAAACCCGTTCCGACGAGAGGCTCGGAATCGCAAGCGGGAGGTGTTCCTCAAACCATCGCATCTGCTGTGTCTGGCCCAGAGAAAAATTCAGCAGCACCAGCGATGCCCATGACATTGGATCCCCATGCAGTTGAAGAAGTGAGTGAGGGTGGAGCGGCAAAGAGGAATACCTCTCGGACTGAGGATGTGCAATTCGTTGTGCCAGAGGTGAGCTTGAATTCTGCTGGGAGCGGACTGCTGCCGCTGCTTCTTCTGCTGTTGGGGCTGTGGGGGTTTGCGGCTGCGTGAGGAGTGTGCGGCCTCGTGGAGCACTTGTGCCGTTCCCTGCAGGACACACACACACCACTAGGAATATATTTTACTACGCAGAGAATAATTTGTTTTTGTTTCCTTTTAATGTTTTCCATTTTCCCTTTGCTGCTTTAGGGCAACCATTATAAGCGTTTTTTTTTTCGGCTTTTAATTGTTTTTCTTTTCTGTTTGGAGCATAATTTCTCGTGTTTTTTTTTGTTTGTTTTTAATCATTTTTGTTTGCTTTTTAAAAAATTTTTATGTTTTTTTTTTCTTTTTTTTTCTGCTCCACTCCTCCCTTCTGTTTTGCTTTTGGGAGCAATCACTATGGACGTGATTTTTTCTTTTCTACTCTTCCCTCTTTAATTGTTTGTTGCTGCATTCTTCCTGCGAGGGGTGCCGTGTGTTTCCGCCCAACTGCTCCACTCGCACACCCACCGACACGCTCATGACGACGGCCCTGTGCGCCTCGCCTGCTGCACGCATGAGGAGGGGCCGCGACGAACGGCGCGCTGAGGGAGCCGTGACGTGTGGGCGTGCGACGAGGGCCTGTGGGGCGGAGCACACATTTCTCCCCTCTTGTTTTGTTTTTTGCGGCCAGGGCGGGCAGACACCCGCGGCGCCACACACACAGCCACACCCTGCCGCCGTGTTTTTAAGATTTCTTTTTTCTTTTGCTGCGCTCACTCTCCCGATGGAGTGACGCGACTGCCGTCATGTCTGCGTGCTTCTCTCAGTCCCCACACACACGAGTGACTGTGCTCTGCGGGCCGCACTCACGCACCAATAAAAGGACTGAGGGGAGCAGCAACACGCAGATGACCCCGTGAAATATAAACGCTGTGCGGACACATGGAGGGTCAGACGGTTGAAAGACATTTAAATATTTTTCTAATTTTATTTTCGGACAAAATATGCAGACAATTTCTGGAGCAACATGTTAGTTAGGTGCACCTTTTTGTGTGGTTTTTTGTTTTTCTTTTCTTTTTCATTTTTTTTTTTTTTTTGGATGTAGCTGTAATAGAGGACGACATTTTTTAAATTATTTTTTTTCGTTTGGTTGGGTGGAACATTAGTAGAGAACGACTTTTTTTTTCTTTTTATATAATTATTGTGTGCGAGAGGGGGCTAATATATGATGAGAGGGAATTGTTTTTTCTAATTATTTTAATAGTTTTTTTATGAATTGCTGCTGCTTTGTCTGCAGTGCTGTATCATGAGCTTGGGCAGTCCTGTTATTTCTGCCATGCACTTCTGCTGTACATTTTTGTTTGTGGGTCTTTTCACATGCTCTGCTCCTGTTTTTACTTCTTTATGCTTCGTGTGTCTGCGGGCGCACACAAACACACAAGATGCACATTGCAGTGGATTTGGATGCTTCTTTTGTAGCGTGTGCTGGCGGTTGCGGGTGGCTGCTGCTTCCTCCGTGGGCATGAAGGGAAGGAGGGGAGGGGGGGAGCGCGCACCGCGAGTCACTCTTCCTGCGGGTGTGATGCGCGCGGTGGGCTGCGACTGCTGTGGAGTGCCGCATCCTTTCGGTGTGGGTGGAATGGCTGGAAATTTTGGCGCCGCGTCATGGATGGATGAGGATCGCTTCCGCGTGTGGCTCTTTAGGCGATTGCTCGCTCCGTGTGCGTTGTGTGCCGGCAGCGGGGCTGTGGCGGTTTGTGTGAGCGGGCGCGTGCGGATGAGGGTCAGGGCGTATGGAATGAAGGAATGGCTTGAGGAAAGGGGAATTTGATTTGGATGGTATTTGGACCGGATTCATTTGGCTGCGGTGGCCACATGCACGACGGATGCGTTTCCGCATAATGGGGGAGGATGCGACAGGATTTTCCGAAGTGGCCCGTCAATGCAATTCGGGTTTTATAGCACTGGGGCACAGTGGTCTTCCTGCAATGGCTGGTGACGGCCTCTAGTGGACCGGTGCATTTATGCTGCTGCTGCTGCTGCTCGAGGAGGCGTAGAAGTGCGATTTGAGGTGAGCGGCGGAAGGGCTGCACACCCCGCAGTGACGGTCGTCGTTGGCCCACCGGGTGCCTCTGAAGGTTTTGTTGGATGCAACGTCCTTATGCCCGTCTCCGGATGGCGGCATCCCTGATGCAGCCAACGAACGGGGCTCGGAGCGGCCGGCGCACCGCACGCTGAGCGCATGACACGGTGAGGACCAGACCTAAAAAAGGGACACCGCGTGGGACGTCAATCTTCACTGCAGCGACCGCCACCGAATTCGGATTTGCTCGCACCTTCTGCGGTCCCTCTTCCTCCCTCACTTCTGTGCCGAGGACTGTGCCGCGGGATCGAGCAGCGCGTTGTTTGGCTGCAGGAACATGGCCCGAACAAATGATTTGTGGGAGGGGGATGTGCACTGCGGGGAAAAGAAAAAAAATGTTGCGAGACGACCACCACCACAAGACCGGAGTGAAGTTGTGTTTTGTCCACTTGCGCGAGGGCGGCCTGCCACCTGGTCGGTGAGGAGGATTATTTTTTTGCTTCGTTGTGCTCTCTTTTTATTCCGCTGCGTTTCCTTGCGGACCTGCGAAGGGAGATTTGCAAGAAATTTCTGCGAGGTGTTCGTGCCGTCGTCGGAAAAGCGGATTCCCCCTTGAAAAACGCCACTTTTTGAATTTTTTTGGGCGAGGAGTTCCTGTCGATTCACTGCGACTTTGTTTTGCGGATTTGATGCGTGTGTTTCCGAGCGGTTCGGTCTGTGCTCCCGGCCCACTCGGATGTGGTGTGCGCGTCGACGTGAAGGTGCCTGCCAGCCGTTTTATTGCCTCCCCGCTGTGGCTGCCGCCGCTGCCTTTCTCTCCTCCTGAGGTCCTGCGGCTTCTTGACAAGATGTTTTGGAGAAGGCGTTGCCGCTCTTATCGTCCATGTTATTTTGATTCTGGTGTCGCGGTCAGGAGGCATTGAACGAGAGGGTTTGCTGCCCTCTTGTTTTGCTTGTCCTCTCTGCTTGATGGCCAGTTGTACACAAGCGTGCTCCTCGGCACCTCGGTTAGTGCTGGCGGGTTGCTCACAGTTGTCGCTGGCAATCGCATGCGCCAACTCTTCGCTGCTCCCTTTCAGTGTCGCATTTTTTTTTATTGATTGACGGACGCCATTCCGTCCGGCGTGCCACTTTGATTGGATTGTGCGGGACTGCTCGCCAACGCCATCGGAGAAAGCAGGCCGACTTTCTCACGGATTTAATTGCCGTCTTGCGCGCACGTATTTTTCACATGTTCCGTTGGTGTGCACTCAAGTAGCGAGGTGTACGGAACTACGCGTGCGTGGAATTCTTCCTGCCATGTGAACCGCAGGCAGCACCGAGGGGCTGCCACTTTGACTCCGCAGAGTTGTTGTGTCTCTTTGCAGGGTTGGCAGGGAAATTCCATGCAGCCTGCTACTGCTGGTGTGTCCCTAAATGTTGTCACTCCATGCGAATGATGTGCTTCAGCGAGTGAGGGTGTTGATTGGGTTTGTGTGCACTCTGATTGTGCTTGCTATTTTGTGCGGGCACGCAACACTTGAGAGGTGGTAAAATGGAGCGGGGCGATGCCTGGCTGCGTCCCGCCCATCGTTCACTGCACGATGGTGTGGTGCACATTGTGGTGTTGACTCTGCGATGTGACTGCGGTCTCCTGCGCGGCAATGGTGGTGGGTGGAGGAGAGTGTTGACCCGCGGCGGGACGGTGGGATCGTGTTTTCTTTTTATTATTGCGTGAAGGTGTGCACTTATTTTTGGTGTCGGTGATCGGGAAAACAAACAAACAGAAAACGTGAATAAAACAAAATAAAAAGGACGGTAGTGTGGCGGTGTTGTGGCCGATTGCACGTTGCGTTGCTGCGGGGGCGGTGGGCATTGACTGCTTCACCGACAGGCGTCGCAGTGCGGCTGCATGGCGCACTGACCGCCCTGCCGTGCGAGTGCCACGCCCAACGCCATTGGGACTGCGAGAAGAAACAGCCGCGACTGTCCTTTGGGGCCAGCGGCACCTTCTGGCCGCAGTTTGGCGGTGCGAGTGGGATGCTTCACTGCACGGGTGTTGTGATGGCGCCTCTCCGTGGCATCTCCGGCGATGGTTCCGACGCTGCAACTCGCAGAGGAGTGAAGGGAACGCAGCAACCAAAGTGGACTCTTGAGCAGCACCAACATGAGGCTGAGCGATTTCCTTTGGAATTATGTTCACGGCAGGGCGGCCGTTGATGAAAGACTACAATGTGACGATGGAGATGTTTATTCAGGAGTCGGATGGTTACGTACAAGACCGGCGGCTTCTTGAAGAAATTTTTAACTTAACTGCGTACCAATCGCTGGAGGCCATTACTAAGCCTCTTCACGAAGGTGTGTTCTCTCTCGGGCAACGTCGAGACTATGAAAGAAAAGGATACGATCACTCCCATTGCAAGGGAACACCAAATGGAGTACTCACGCAGGTACTGACAGAAGCGGGGCGGGAGGCAGAGGAAAGGCTGAGACGAACGCAAGAAATGAAATTTACCATTTCCACTAATATCGAGGAGGTACTGTTTAATGGAAGAGCTCGCGTCAATGAAATGAGGCTGAACGACTTTCTTACGAGGGAACTGGACGGCAGGGGCATTGTGGACACCAATCGGGATGTCTTACTGGAGGAGTTTCTCAAGGACCCCACGAAGTATATCCGTGATAAAGGAGCACTGAACGAAATACAGGCATCAGGTCGTT